CGGGGAAGACAAGCCCCTGGGAGGTGGTGAACCCGTAAGGAGCGTGGCAAGGATGGTGGGATTGTAAAATCATCAAGAAATATTGGCAAAGGATTTATAATGAAATGAAGAAGATGTTTAAAATAACTTTTGTTTTTTTAAAAAATGGAAGCTTTCCTACTAGGTATTATAGGAGTGGATATACCAGGATTAGGGACATGGGTGGCGCTGTGGGTTAAACCACAGAGCCTAGGACTTGCAGATCAGAGGTCGGCGGTTCGAATCCCCGCGACAGGGTGAGCTCCCGTTGCTCGGTCCCTGCTCCTGCCAATATAGCAGTTCGAAAGCACCAGCGGCGTAGCGTGGGTTGTCAGCACCCGGGGCAAGGCAAGTAATTTGCGCCCCCTAACCAGTGGATTTGCGCCCCCTAACCTGTGGATTTGCGCCCCCTAACCCGTGGATTTGCCCTAACCCCAGATGTTGCGCCCGGTGCGGCTGGCACCCCCTGCACCCCCCACGCTACGCCACTCGAAAGCACATCAAAGTGCAAGTAGATAAATAGGTACCGCTCTGGCGGGAAGGTAAACGGCGTTTCCGTGTGCTGCTCTGGTTCACCAGAAGCGGCTTAGTCCTGCTGGCCACATGACCCGGAAGCTGTACGCCGTCTCCCTCGGTCAATAAAGCGAGATGAGCACTGCAACCCCAGAGTCAGTCACCCCTAATGGTCACTTTACTTTTAACTTCAGAACTTACTGTGCAATTTTGATCTTGTAATCAGTTGAAAAATAATTGAATCATTTTTATTTTCTACTCAGTGCTTTAAGTGTAATGTATGTCTGTTTTGTCATTTTAGCATGCATATTATAGCAGAACAGTGGTGCTAAGGCTACTTGAAAAAAAATACAAATCTTTGGTAAGTCTGTTTTTTCATCAGTCAATATCCTTTCTCAATACAAGGAACAAAGTACATATCAATTACAACTGAACCAAGACATATCTTAAGATACTACATACTCCTTAATTGATTTTTGTTTATCAATATGGCCATTTAGGAAGTTCAGTTTTACATTCTAAATATGATGTTCTGCAGAGACTTTATAATTTACCCTACTGCCTGTATATACTTCTACCAACCCAAAATTAATGTGAAAAGGGTCAAATGCAAATTTGCTAATGATGTGAGTGAAGTGAATCTTTATTAATAGAGGGAATTGTGTAATAGGCATTTTCTGTGAATTTTGATATACTTTGTTGTTTTATTCGTCAGATTATTGCATCTGTTGAGCAGTGTGTTTCCTATCTTGAAACTTGTGAATCAGTGGTTGATAAAACAGGCAGGTTTAATTCTTCCTCTACATTGCATAATGGTAAGTAATTTTTCCATATGCTGAATAATATATATTTATTTGAAGTCTTCTTTTTTGCTTACATTTTAATAAAATATGTAGCAGTGTTCCAGTAGTGCTTTTTATGACAAATGTTCAGAATATGTTCTAGCTCAGAATTTCTAAATAACATTTCAACTGTGTGAGGCTTCCCTCCCACCTCGAAATGGAAAATCCAATTTTTATTGGTGGTTGCATTTTTTGTGATCTTGGCAGTTTTCTTTATAAATACATTATTGCCCATGATAGCAGTGATTGCTTGGACTCTAGTATACAAGAACGAAGCAAGAGACAGCACAGGTTTATTGACATGAACTGTCTTGTCTTTCAAGGTAATAAACAGAAGAATTTTTACACTGGAAAAGAATTGCAGTATATATATTTTGTTCATTCCCTGAGCCTCTTAGGAAGATTGTTGATATATAAACAAGGCAGAAGACTTTTTCCTATTCAGCTGAAAAACAGAAAAGGTAAGTGCGTGTTAAAGAACATAGAAGCATAGAAACATGACAGTGTGTTCTATTAGGGCCATTTTTCTAATGCTTTTTCAGCTTTGGTTCTGTTGTTTGTGGGAGAAGGCTTATAGGTAAAAAAGAGATTGTACAACAGGGTGTAAATTATGTGGCGTAAATTATGTAAGCAGGACAGTTATTGGAGTGCTTGGTGCATTATCCCATGCTGCTCTATATAGAAGGATCACACATAAATTCCTGTCTCACTATTTTTATCTGGATTTTTAAAAACCTATTTATAACAAAACTTTGTTGTTTTCTGTAACAGTGGTGAAGCTGAGATGTTTATCAAAACTAACATAGTGACTCGATTTGGGCATAATGCTAAACTATACCATGTGCATAGTGCAGTGTAAACAACCTTCGGTTCCTGCACTTTTATTCTCTTTCCTTCAACCCATCTTTCCTGAGGAGGATTCAAGGAAGCATGTGTTTTCTGTTTTCAAATAACTGGTGTTTATTGTTATGTCCAAACCTTGGGAGTGAAGGGAAGTTACCAGATCTGCTAGTATGCCAGTTCACAGATTTGTATGGACACATCTATTGCGTGTACCTGTGGAAAAATGGGGAAATTAGAATACTGCTTTTGAGTTCTTTGCTGGAGACAATGACAGGCACGCGAGACAGAATTGCATTTTATTGGAATACCTTGCTTCCTTTGGGGTAGTTATCATGGCTCAGTAATAGAACTGATATCAATGGAACTGGAACTCTGGTTAGTTTAAACTATAGGTAAAGGTACCCCTGCCCATACAGGCCAGTCGTGTCCGACTCTAGGGTTGTGCACCCATCTCACTTAAGAGGCTGGGGGCCAGCGCTGTCCGGAGACACTTCCGGGTCACGTGGCCAGCGTGACGAAGCTGCTCTGGCGAGCCAGCACCAGCGCAGCACACAGAAACGCCGTTTACCTCCCCGCTAGAAAGCGGTACCTATTTATCTACTTGCACTTCGGGGTGCTTTCGAACTGCTAGGTGGGCAGGAGCTGGGACCGAAAGACGGGAGCTCACCCCGCCGCGGGGATTCGAACCGCCGACCATACGATCGGCAAGTCCTAGGCACTGAGGTTTTACCCACAGCGCCACCCGCGTCCCTTAAACTATAGTTACTTTAAACTATAGTTAGTTGCAATAAGACAGCATCGAATCACAGTTTATGATTCTCCAAACATGGCATAGTTTAAATTAATCAGTTTCCCTAGGTGGGATGCAACAAAACTCTAGGTCGTTTAACCCGCAATTGTCTATTTTCCACCTCCTGCTGTTGTATTGGAAGAGGAGGGTGAGGACAAGCGCCTGGGGCTCGCTTGTACTTATTCATGCAGCGCTGACTTATGGTTTTTCCAAGGCAGGTTGGTTTATGGCTATGAAGAAGTACACATTATCATCTTACACAATTATCTAAATATTCTTCCATCTGTCCTCCTTGGCCTGTGGCTGTTACAAAAAAAGTTTGATTACATTATTTTCCAGGAGGGAAAACATGAACCCAACAGTTTATTTGACATTGCTGGAATAGCTCTACCAGTAATAAATTAAATTAAATGGTTTCTGTCTGTGAAACAGTTGGAAATGGAAGAAAAGCTACAGCAATTTAGCTTAAATTTGTATTCAGGTATTCGTTTGTTGTTCCTAATTAAATTATAAGTAACATGAAGTTATTTTCCCCATTCTCATTTTTGTAGATTTGATGTCCTTGACAGACCTTGTCGTAATGTTTACTCGTCTTATCTATTGCGCCCCAAATTGTCCAAAGACTCTTACAGTGCATTCAGGTAACATTGCCCTTTATATTTGCTCTGTTATTCTTTAATTTTCTTCTTTGTGAATAAAGGTTTGTTCACTTCCATATTTCTTAATCATTTCTGTGTCTATAGACACCATGACATCATATTTAAAGTGAAAACTGAGTGACTCTTCCCATCTGATGGGTATTTGAAGTGGTGGGCTTGGCAAGAGGGAAGAAATACCGCTTGTTTCTTTTCCTTTATCTGATTGTGTTGCTCACTCTGTTGTTCTTTACTATTTTGAAACAAGTCTCTTTTTATTTGTCAGGCAATTATTCTCCAGCAGGCCTTATTACTGATGTGCTTGGAATTCTTTGTGAGAGAAAAGAATGTGCAACTGAATGTCTATATACTAATACAGTGATAGAAGCACTTCTTCAGCCAATACATTATTTACTGAATGGAACAGAGGTTGGTTGTATTTCCTTCAAATAAACATGAATAAAACTTAATGTAGAAAAATGTAATGGCTGTGATCCATTTAATTGTCAGGCACAATGTGGTCTTGCATATAACTAGTGATGGAGATGTGCATTGCAAAATAGTGAGAATTGCATTGGGGACATTGTGTCTATGTATCTGTTTCAATACAGCTGTGCACACCACAGTGAAATAAACATATTGTTGACTGGGCTAAGCCTGTAATGAATTACAAGAGCCAAAGTTAAAAATGGAGCTTGGGATTTGTGGGGAAGGAGACAGGGAAGATTATGAAGAAAGCTGCATTTGATGTAAGTCAAGGGCAGCTACCTATAACCCTCCAGTTGTGGATTCCAACTTCCATCATAAGGGATGTTGAGAATTATAGTCTATTGACATCTGGAGAGTCATAGGGTTCCATCCTTGTTTCAGTAAGAGAAGGGAATGTGGAATTGGCATGCTAGTCTATTTTGGAAGTTAGCCCCATCTGTTTCTATTTATATTTGAAAATAAATGTTAATTTCATTTTGAAAGGACTTTGGATTCTTCTGTTCTTCTTTTGTCAGTTAAACATTTAGATTATCCTCACAGCTACTTTAGCTAAATACAAATCAGCAGTATCATTTACAACTGCATTGTTTTTTTAAAAAAATCAAAGCTCCATTGACATAAGCTGGATTATAATGTAAGAATTCCTCAGTCTTGTTACATTAATTTGGCCTTTAGTTACACAAGGTTTGTAGACAAAAGTCTCTATAAAAACATTAATCTTCAGAGTTTTTTAAAATGTTTGTGCAGGTGCATCTAAATTCTCCTGAAACAACTCTAATACATATAGCCGATATTTGGCAAGGATTGCTGCTGCAGATGATTGGTCTTTCACTCCTACTCTATGGAGGAGAGAAGCCCTCTGCCATGGAGGGTGGTAGGTAGAGAATGTGTTTTAAAGAACAAAAAACAGTGTTGTGAAATAAGTTCTTTTATCTCATATCTAATTAGTTGTATATAAGTCTTGAGAGAAAGCTTCCATGATTGAATTATAAAATGAACAGCTTGCATGTTTGTTGTTTATGCAAATGTACCTAAGGAGATAGCTCCCACACCTGTAGAAAACAGTCTGCATGCAATACCTGCATGCAGTACACTGTAATTTTCATGTTATTTTCTCATTAGTCATGCTTTTGTTTCTTGGCTTAAAGTATTACTGCATTTGGTTGTAATGATAAACTATGATTTCTTGTTACGTCAACAAACCTCAGGCTTGTGTACTCTCACCTACCTTCTCTCCATAAGAGGATATCAGAAGGTTTCATTTCTGTTTTAAACTAACCGCAATTAAACATTGTGTCTGAACCCAGACAAATGTAGAATTAACTAATGTTTACTGTTTACTGAATTCAGTGACAAACCTTGGATTAATGAGGTTGGCTTATTCTTTAACTACAGTTTATGATTTGGATGTATCATAAACTGTGGTTAATCAGCAATCAAAGTGGAATGCTTCCATCTCCAGAACATTCTGGAGAAGGTGGCATGTAAGAGGAAATAGTTAAAGGAACATATTCCCAATTAAATGAAGATGTGTTTCTGCTATCCTGGGAAATGTGGAGATATGAAAATTGTGTGCTTCTCAGAATACATCACCCTGAGCCAGGTTGCTCTGTCTTAGAAATGAACACAAACATTTCTAAATAGTTGAGATCATATCTATTTAGCACCTGGTATCATTGATTATGTCCTGTGGGTTGATATAAATCATATGTAAACTAATGGAGTTCTTAAAATAAAAAAAAGAATGTAAAAAGGAAAAACTTGCAAATGCAATATCACTTTCCTAACAAAGAGCAGCTTATGGCAAAGGGACAGATCTGCATTATGACCACAATCCAAATGAATTGGGTGGGAAGGTGGGTGGTGCAGGGAGTTATACAGCATCTTCCAACACTATGGTTTCAATATGGATTGGTCTTGCTGTTGCTTATTTGTTAAGAAACAGTCATGCCAAGTCCTAAGCATGCTGCTCAAAAACATGGTGGATGTGTTAGCTTCACTAAGAATAAAGCAGTTTTATAGGTGATCTCTGTGGAAGGGGGAGAGAAGCCTTCCTACTTTGTTTTGGCTCATTTTTGTTCCCATCTTACATGGGAAGATGATAGGCAGTAAGTCTTTCTTTAGGCCAAGTCTCAGCATATTGTATAAGCAGAAGAAGGATTAACATTTCAATTACTAACTGAAAAGCTTTATTTCATCATAATACTGCCAAATCAATAAAACATTGTTTTTTGAAATGTTTCATTCTTTGTAGCCTTAGGGGTGCACATACTATCGTTCAGTTTACAAAGAAGCTTCTTGATGAAGACATTTCTGTTCTTTCTGGGTCTGAGATGTTGCCAGTGCTCAAAGGTGCTTTCATCTTGTATGCCACCAGATGTATAGTACTTGCGAAGGCTTAGAGGTGTTGCTACCTTACCATTTACATGGATCTATTTCTGAGGCTTGGAAAAAGGTAGTCCTATCCTTGTTTATACAAAGTATATGTATAGAAGTTATGCAAAGGATGTTTATGTTGCTTGTGTGTGCATCTGTTCCCAAAGGGTACTTTTTATGCTGAAAATGTAATGTAGTACAGATTTTATCATGGAAGTGGCACCTTAACATTATAATATCCCAAAGATGATTATTAGTTTTCCCCTCTTTGTAACAAGTGTAGCAAAGAGGGAGGGGAGTAGCAATTTCTCTTGGATCCCAACAGTGTGCATGTGTACAGTGGTACCTCATGTTACAGGACACTTCAGGTTATAGACGCTTCAGGTTACAGGACTCCGCTAACCCAGAAATAGTACCTCGGGTTAAGAACTTTGCTTCAGGATGAGAAACAGAAATCGTGCAGTGGTAGCGGGAGGCCCCATTAGCTAAAGTTGTACCTCAGGTTAAGAACAGTTTCAAGTTAAGAACGGACCTCCAGAACGAATTAAGTTCTTAACCCGAGGTACTGCTGTAGTTAAAAAATAGGCAGGTCTTGTCCTCTCAGGCTGTGGAAAATATTGCCAGTATAGTATACAGATGTGTACATTCTAATTTATATTATATGTGAAATAGGCTTGAATAGATGTTGGGAGCTTGAAATATTTTTTAAAGTTGGCAAGTAGATCTGTTTGTTAATCTTCATTAGTCATGAAAAGTCCAGTGCTGCATTTCTTGCATGCATTGCTTTGGTTCCAAGAGTTACATTAGAAACATTCACCAAGTAACTTCGTGATGCCCATAAGTTGGTCAGTGCCCAGCGCCCCACTATCACACGGGTGGTTGCTGCTGCAGCTGCTGCTTCTCACCTTGCACATTTGCAAGCTAGTTTATCTGGTGGTATCAGGATTTATTATTAGGTTATTAATGTAAGTGGTGAAGGATCCAAGCATCCATTTGGCTCTCTGGTGCATTGCAGTGTTGCTGCAATTGGGTAAAACCCACTTGGAAGCAGGTAGCGGGCAGGTTTCTTTAAGAGGCATATCTGGCGGTGGCGCTATAATGGTCTAGGGAACTAGGCACCCACCATCACCCCTGCACACAAGTGGGTTTATCAGACAGCAGAAACAGCATTGTCATTACCACACCCATTGCAGGAACCCCACCAACATTGGCCAAGCAGGGTTGACTGATGACTGCAGTAATGTCACTGCTGGGATCCAAAATGGTGGTAGGCACTCGGAGACAGGCCCTCCGACAATCTGCAGATATGTCTGCCCTTAAGATGTCTCTGATGCTTAATCAAATATCCTTATCGTACTATGTGTTAGCGATCATAATTTAGATTTGCTACTGTTGCTAACAGTAAATTTATGTGATTTGCTTTTCATTTCTGACAGACTAGTTTGCTTTCGGAGAGAATTCCAACGCCTGTCGCGGGGGCAGATTGTGTATCATCAGCAAGTCAAGAATCACAGAGCTTGTAAGTACTAGTTTGGGTTACCTGCTCAGAGATACATGAGAAAAGTCCTCAAAGCTGCAACATGGGGATTAGGTAACATTTAAAATGGGAAATCTTTCTGATAAAGCTGTATTGCTGTTACCAGGCAGAGGCAACAGCAAAGTTCTGCATGGGGAATATAAAATACAGTTTAGTGGCTCGCACAGCCTCTTGCTTCCCTTTCGCTTTGCTTGCTCTGTCTTCCTCACTCCCTATTGTTTCTCCCATTTCTCCTCTTTGATTTCTGTTTCCTTTGTCACTTGTCCTGCAGTTTCCCCATTTCCATCCCTCCCCTCTCATTTGCTTTTCAGCTGTCCAGTATGTTGTCACTCTGCCTTCATCAGCCCTCCGTATTTTAGTCTTTCTCTTCCTGTCAGCTACATCTGCTTCCTCTTTTTCATCTGCCCCATCCCTGTTCTGTTTACTAACGTTATTGTTGCTTTTCTTGCTCCTTTGTTTTCGATTCTTAACACATTCAGAAAGGAATCTTCACAGTGGATTTTTGACATCTGTTGTGCAAGCCTCACTTGGAAAAGGACCTGGGTGAGGCAGGCATATGGTACATGAGATGCAGTTTCAGTGGTTGGGGTGCAAATATGTCCACTTTTAGGGGGCCCCCATTTTTTCTACTTCTGCATAGCATGTAGTTCTCCTGAATATGAACATCTTTCCTCTTCTTTGGGTGTGTGTAGCTATCAGCTTTCACCGCTGAATGTTACTATTATAGAGATAATTATTATTTATGTGGTTTCTGCGTTTTCAGAACTTGTGAATTTCACGAGTCAATACAGTGCTTCATACTTTTTATTTTCAATCATCAGTTCCCCAAGTCTATATTCCTAGAAATGGGAATATGGCATATTATTTTTTCATAATGATGACATGTAACATGCAAATTGAAACAGGCTATAAATTTGTTTAGCTTTTATAAGCTGTCATTTTTCCATGCAAGATGTATTGGCCAAGGCAATGAAGACATCACAGTTTATGGGTATATATTAATTACGATTGGTTTAAATCATTTTCAACAGGCATTTTTCTTTTTTGTAATGTCAGCATCCACTGACTATTATAAAATGAAGTGAGTTATTTTACTGTCAGACTATAAGACAGCAATCACTTTATTTTTAAAAATATGTTGCTTACAATGATAATTCCATAGAAGAAAATCTAGCAGCATATAAATGCATTTTTAAAAAGTAAGCACTGTATAATATAAAAGCACGTTTAATAGCTTTTGAAGCGGTATTTTTAAAGTTTTGATTAAAATGTAATTGATATATCAGCTTTCATGTGACAATTTAATACCTAACATGCCTAAAACATACAGTCATGGGAAAAAGAAAGTGACCCTCTTTGAATTCTGTGGCTTTACATATGAAGACATAATAGCAATCATCTGTTCTTAGCAGGACTTAAAATTATGTAAATGCAACCTCAGATGAACAATAGCAAATGGCATATGACACTGTGTCATGATTTATTTAACAGAAATAAAACGAAAATGGAAAAGCTATGTGTGAAAAACTAAGTACACCTTATGATTCAGTTGTTTGTAGAACCACCTTTAGCAGCAATAACTTGAAGTAATCATTTTCTGTAGGACTTAATCAGTCTCTCGCATCGTTGTGGAAGAATTTTGGCCCACTCTTCTCTACAACGTTGCTTCAGTTCATTGAGGTTTGCTGGCATTTGTTGATGCACAGCTCTCTTAAGGTCCCACACAGCATTTCAATTGTATTGAGGCCTGGACTTTGACTGGGCCATTGATTCTATTCTTTTTCAGCCATTCTGTTGTAGATTTGCTGGTGTGCTTGGAATCCTTGTCCTGTTGCATGACCCAATTTCAACCAAGCTTCAGCTGTCAGGCAGATGGCCTCACATTTGACTGTAGAATACTTTAGTATACAGAGGAGTTCATAGTTGACTCAATAGCCACAAGTTTCCCAAGTCCTGTAGCTGCAAATTAAGCCCAAATCATCACCCTTCCAATATCGTGCTTGACAGTTGGTGTGAGGTGCTTGTGCTGTGTTTGGTTTTTGCTAAACATGGCGCTGTGCATTATGGCAAAACATCTCCACTTTGCTCTTGTCTGTCCAAAGGACATTGTTCCTGAAATCTTGTGGTTTGTTAAGATGCAACTGAACTAATCTGTTCTGCCATGTTCTTTTTAGAGGGAAGAGACTTTTTCCTGGCAACCCTTCCCAGCAAACCATACTTGTTTCGTCTTTTTCTAATTGTACTGTCATGAACTTCAACATTTAACATGCTAGCTGAGGCCTGTAGGGCCTGAGATGTAATTCTTGGGGTTTTTGCAATTTGAGCACTACAAGGTCTGATCTTGGGGTGAATTTGCTAAGACATCTACTCCTGGGAAGATTGCACCTGTCTTGAATGTTATGTTTTCCACTTTTGAATAATCTTTCTCACTGTAGAATGATGGACTTAAAATTGGTTGGAGATGGCCTTAGAACCCTTCCCAGTTTCATGGGCAGCAGCACTTCTTCTCTAAGCACTTGCTTCTCTAAGAGCACTGTGCCATATTTCCTCCTTGGCATTGTGTTAAAACACACCTGAATGCTCCAGACCAGAAAGCTGCTAAAACTTTGGCTTTTATAGAGGTGGGCACACTTACTGATGATCAGTTAAGCAAACACATTTGATTAGCAGCATCTGTCTGCTACTTGGCCTCTTAATTCCTATGGAGGCAGTAATGGTGTACTTAGTTTTTCACACATTTTCTCTATTTTGGCTTTATTTCCGTTACATAAATCTTGACATGGTGTAATATGTCATGTGTTATTGTTCCTCTGAGGTTGTATTTACCTAATTTAAGACCTGCTAAGGAACAGATGATTGGGAACAGGAACGTGGGTGGCGCTGTGGGTTAAACCACAGAGTCAAGGGCTTGCCGATCAGAAGGTTGGTGGTTCAAACCCCTTGACGGGGTGAGCTCCCGTTGCTTGGTCCCCGCTCTTGCCAACCTAGCAGTTCGAAAGAACATCAAAGTACAAGTAGATAAATAGGTACTGCTCCAGCGAGAAGGTAAATGGCATTTCTGTGCGCTGCTCTGGTTCCCCAGAAGCGGCTTAGTCATGCTGGCCACATGTCCCGGAAGCTGTACGCCAGCTCCCTCGGCCAATGAAGCGAGATGAGCACTGCAACCCTGGAGTTGTCCGCGAATGGACCTAATGGTCAGGGATCCCTTTACCTTTAAGGAACAGATGATTGTTGTTATGTCTTCATATGTAAAACCACAGAATTCAAAGAGGGTCACATTCTTTTTCCCATGACTGTACTAATATATAAGAAATTTGTGGTACATTAGTAGCCTCAAAATGTGTGTGTGTCTCACTGAATATAGGTAGCTTTTGGATACCTATATCAATATTAGAGATACTCAATAGTTCAGATTTCAGTTTCTATAAGAGTTTTTCCCCAGTGAAGAATTCAGTTTTAGAGATGGGTATTCCTAGGCGGGTCTCTGTATGCTCTCTTCTCATTGGATGATTCTGTTGCTCTAGTGTTTTCTTCTTTCCAGTCCTTTCAGAGTGGTGAACAAAGTTTGGGTTAATAGTAGATCCCTTGCTGGTGCAATGCTTGTTTGCTGCAAACTGGTTAGCCTACTAAAAACCAGCCTTGGGAACAGGCATTCTCATTCCCACTCCAACACCGATCTCACCTGTTTCTCTCTCCTTGTCGCCCTTAATAACACTTTTCTGTTACATCTGTACAAATGCTAATCATGGGTAGTGTTAGCTAGACTTACCAGAATATCACATAGATTTGCTAAAAACTGTATTAAGAAGGAACCTGGTTAGCATTAACTAGGGTTAGTGTTGGAGCAGGTGTAATATTAGGACTGCCTTCTCCCACAGATTTTTTGTACGTCAGGATCATCTTCAGGTGCCCTTCTCAATGTACCCCCACAATTTCAGGTTAGGCATATGACTTCTATGATTTTACTGTTCCGTTCTTTCTGTTGCCTTGTATGTGATTTTTGTGTTTAATTGTTTTACATGATTTGTAATACTGAAGGACGAGGTATGCATATTATGTAACTGGCCACGTTCAGATAATCGAACCACAGCTTAACGAGTGAAGATATTCACAAGCTTCATGTATCCACATGTTGCTTCTTTGCAGAAGTAAACAAACAAGCTGAGAAGCTGTAGTTAAACAGAGCTTCATTTTACATCAGAATCAGGAAGGTTGGTTAGTGGCTTCTAAAGAAGCCAGGTTCTGAAAAGCAAGTGTAAGTAAGCTTTAGGTTTTGGCTCATTTGGAATCCATTAATTATTGAAAGTAATGGGAAAGTAATGGAAGTTATGGTTGAGTATTGCTTCCTAGCTTGCTTCTATGTTCACATGAAGGGGGAGCAAAGGGCCTGCCTGCAGGTTACTCAAGATTTGATCATCTGAATGTAGCAATAAATGATATTACAGTAGTGCCCCGCAAGACGAACGCCTCGCAAGACAAAAAACTCGCTAGACGAAAGGTTTTTTCGTCCGCGATTTGCCTCGCAAGACGAATTCCCCTATGGGCTTGCTTCGCAAAACGAAGCTTGCCCCGGGGACAGCGGGTCTTCTCTTTTGAAGCAAGGGGCTGCGGGGAGATAGCGATCTCCCTGCAGCCCCTTGCTGCAAAAGACGTCCGGGGGAAGCGGGGAAGCGAAGCGCTTCGCTTCCCCGCTTCCCCCGACCTCTTCTGAAGCAAGGGGCTGGGGGGAGATAGCGATCTCCCTGCAGCCCCTTGCTGCAAAAGACGTCCGGGGGAAGCGGGGAAGCGAAGTGCTTCGCTTCCCCGCTTCCCCCGACCTCTTCTGAAGCAAGGGGCTGGGGGGAGATAGCGATCTCCCTGCAGCCCCTTGCTGCAAAAGACGTCGGGGGAAGCGGGGAAGCGAAGCGCTTCGCTTCCCCGCTTCCCCCGGACCTCTTCTGAAGCAAGGGGATGGGGGAGATAGCGATCTCCCTGCAGCCCCTTGCTGCAAAAGACGTCGGGGGAAGCGGGGAAGCGAAGCGCTTCGCTTCCCCGCTTCCCCCGGACCTCTTCTGAAGCAAGGGGATGGGGGGAGATAGCGATCTCCCTGCAGCCCCTTGCTGCAAAAGACGTCGGGGGAAGCGGGGAAGCGAAGCGCTTCGCTTCCCCGCTTCCCCCGACCTCTTCTGAAGCAAGGGGCTGGGGGGAGATAGCAATCTCCCTGCAGCCCCTTGCTTCAGAAGAGGTCCGGGGGAAGCGGGAAGCGAAGCGCTTCGCTTCCCCGCTTCCCCCTGACGTCTTTTGCAGCTGTTCCGAAGTGGGGCGGGGGGGGCGGGGTCACCTGCCCCAGCCGCCCCACTTCGGAAAGCTGTTCCGAAGCGGGGAGGGGGGCGGGGACATCTGCCCCAGCCGCCCCACTTCGGAAAGCTGTTCCAGGAACAGCTCCATAGGAACCTCCATAGGCGCCCGTCACCTCTCCAGCCAGGAGAGCGCGCGCGGGGCTAAACCAGCCCCCCGCGACCCTCTCCCAGCTGGAGAAGTGACGCACGCCTATGGCAGGAGCCTCCATAGGCGCCCGTCACCTCTCCAGCCGGGAGAGCGCGCGCGGGGCTAAACCAGCCCCCCGCGACCCTCTCCCAGCTGGAGAAGTGACGCGCGCCTATGGCAGGAGCCTCCATAGGCGCCCGTCACCTCTCCAGCCAGGAGAGCGCGCGCGGGGCTAAACCAGCCCCCCGCGACCCTCTCCCAGCTGGAGTTGTGACGCGCGCATATGGCAGGAACCTCCATAGGCGCCCGTCACCTCTCCAGCCGGGAGAGCGCGCGCGGGGCTAAAGAAACCATAGCCCCGCGACCCTCTCCCAGCTGGAGAAGTGACGCGTGACTATGGCAGCAGCCTCTGAAGGATGCACCGAAGCCTGGCGTGGGGGGGGGGCGGAGAGACCTTCTCCCCGCGCCAGCCTTCGGATGGCTGTCCTGAAGACTTGGGGTGGGAGAAGGGTTTTCCTTCCCACCGCCAACATTCAGAATGCTGTTCTGAATGTTGGCGGTGGGGAGGAAAAACCCTCCTCCCACGCAAGCCCCGGGAACAGAGGGAAAGCGCTGCGCGCCTTCCCCTCTGTTCCCGTACCTGTGCTGAAGGCTTGCGGTGGGGAGAAAAGCCCTTCTCCGCACCGCCAGCCTGGCAAGCGGTTTCCCTAGGAACGCATTAATTGATTTTCAATGCATTCCTATGGGAAACCGTGCTTCGCAAGACGAAAAATTCGCTAGACGACAAAAATTGCGGAACGAATTAATTTCGTCTTGCGGGGCACCACTGTAAAATGTAATTAAGGCAAACAAAGGAAGGCAAGGGGTTGGGAAGGGAGTTGGTATTCTTCAGGCTGCCAAATTTGCAGACCTGAGTTTGTAGCAGGTTCACATTACATTGGCACTGGACCTTAGAATACAATTATATGCATGCTTAGGAGTAAATTCTGTTGAACTCTCAGTAGGTAAGCATGCATATATATGACATGGAAAGCAACTTAAGAACTAGGGATTGGGTACCGTGAGCACAGCTAGCACCATCCTATGGTCAGTAACAATAGGTGCAACTTGTGGATCCTTGCCTGCTGAGGGAAGAGTTTGCTTGTATGTGCAATTCACTGAGTTGGCATTATCACTATCAGTATATGGTGGAAGGGTATCATTGTTGGAGGGAAATGTGTCAGAAGAGTTAACAGACAAACCTATTAGATCCAAGAGAAGGGCTTTAGACCTTCAGGGGGAGACAGCTGTCGCGTAGGTAGAACAAGCACAGATATACAGCTGCTTTCCTAAATGAATTAATTGCACCCAGATGGTGAATTGAGTAGTGTAAGCAATATTGAATGGAACCATTTTTTCTAACAGAAATTATATACTGGTAGACCAGTCTATGTCTTTGCTATAACAAATGAGCCTTTTATGCAAATCATTACTAAAAGAATCCCTTTATTCATTGGAAGAGAGGTTACTTGGTGGTTGTTGTTGTTTGTTTGTGGGTACTTTAATTTAGTTTTTATCTGTTTGCTTTTTTCCAGTATTGTACTGGAAGAGACGTTGTTGGATGACTTGCTAAATTTTGCAGCTACACCTAAAGGGCTTTTGCTGCTGCAGAAGACAGGAACAGTAAACGAGTGTGTGACTTTCATGTTCAACAGGTTCACAAAAAACCTCCAAGTAGGTATAATCATACACACACACACACACACACACACACACACACACACACATGAAACAATATTTTCATCACTTAGTCTGCCTGAGCAGTCTTTATTGCCTATGCCATAACCTTTCTCTGTTAAAGTGGTATAATAGCATCAGAATATTAATTAGGTAATGCTAGTTAATGATACATTTGATTATGGAATTAATTGTTTGTTCCAAAACAAACAATATATAAAAAGCACCATTATCTTATCTTGTATAAGCCATGATCCTCCTGTATAGCTAAGGTGTTTGAGCCCTTGAAATTTATGGTTTGTTATAATTTGTTTGTGCTAGGTTTGTGGATTTGAAAAGTTTGGCTATGGAGCAATTGTATCGCAAGTAGCTGCAACAGCTGCAGGTGCTATAGCTCTACAGAGTTCAGGTAACTTTTTGTATAGATTATCATGAATAAATCTTGGTAATTAAGGCTGCAATCCTAATCCCAATTCCCGGAGAGCAAGCACCACTGAATTCAGTAGGACTTAACTCCTATTGACATAGTTAGAATTGTGTCTATAGCTTTGACTTTTGTCAGCAAGCATCAGAGCAAATAATTTACTTTATTCTATCATCCTGTCTTTGTGCTTCTGTATGGGACAGGTCAGACAGAATGCCAAACCATGGTTTTGCATTATATATTTTGAAAATCTGTTTCTTCTCCATCCTCCACTTTGCAGATGCCTCCCTCCTTTGCTAGTCTGGATAAAAGGCAAGCCATGGTTTCCCAAAAGCCATGGTTTGCATCAAACAAAAAAATGAGGGAGAAATTTTTCACAAGGGAAGGAGGGAGAGGAGCATGCAAGCCCAAAGATGCTGCCATGCTTGGTCATGTAATGTCAGATCATGATGTGGGATTCAACTAAATTGTTGTGTGCATGGGAGTAAGGCTTTGACGGGGCTTCCTAAACCTGCCCTGGAGGATTGGGAAAACCCTCAGAACAGGTTTAGAGGGCTTTGGGGTTGGAGAGGTAGGAACGTCCCATTGCATGAGCGGGCCTTGTTTCCCATGTGCACACCCCAATGCTACATGGAATTCCACCCACTGAGGCCCTGGTGTTCCAGAGCAAAGTCCATGTGGAACCAAACAGAGCCTCCACCTGAAATGTGGAGGTGGCTGCACCAACTGTTCCTATTATGGTGTGAAACAGTACAGATTAAGAGACCGTGTTAGAAATTGTGCATGTTATGAAAGAGGATGGTTTCATTAGTGAAGAGCTGTGGTAGCATTATCATCTTAACCCTTATGGAAAGTGTTCTCAGTGTGGTTCCTGTCCAATAACATTTGCTAGGACCTCTGCTATAAAATATGACAGAGTCCTTGTGAATAAAATACTCTTTTCCTAGGATTTATAAAAGCACTTGTTACCGAATTGTGGGGTGTTCTAGAGTGTGGAAGAGATGATGTCCGAGTAACTCATCCCAGATCAACACCAGTTGATCCCATTGATCGGAGCTGTCAGAAGGTGGTTTGAATTTTCTTTTGCACATTAATATGTGAATATACTTTTTATCTGAAGCAGAATGTTTTCCTTGGGATAGACCTTAAGTTGCTTGTAGCTTGCAGGTTGTAAATTGTGTATTATTCTAAGGTAGAGTATTGGGGAAACAATAAAAGAATAGCATGGGATTGCCGTACCATGCTCTGATATGCTTTTTATTGAGGATGTGTTCTTGATAAACTTGCTAATAAGGATAGAGACTGACTCCAGAATTCAAAAAGAAAAAGAAGAGCTAACTTTGTTTAGTGTTAATATTTTGAAAGTTTAGCAGCTTAAAGAAGAGGAGCAAAATCAGTTTGAAAAGAGTTACGCATAATCGCATCAGGATTCAGTGAATATGTTTCAATCAATCAGTTTTATTATCTCGGCCAGAGGCCATAATACAGAACATAATTACTAACAACTACAAATAAAGACAATTATCCAGAATAAAACAGTACCCATATAAAAGTCACAATCCACACTTCTTGCAAATAATCACCACCTCAACATAATTCTTTGGTAGAATTTAAAAAGCGTATCTTGAGAAATAAAAACTAAGTGACTGTTCCTACTTCATAATGTAGTTGCTGTTCCTTTGGGAAGCACCCTAGACTGCCTGCATTTTATTGTACAATCTTTTTTTCTATCTCTGTGTGATGCAGCAATATCACTCTTCAGTGATCTTACCGGTTGAGCATAGCCATGTATATTTAAAATATACATTATTCAGGCAGAGGGAGAAACTGCTATACATAGAGCTCATCCTATTTGCTCTCAGCAGCCTAGTCTATGAATGGCCATGCCTGTCCTAAAGCGGGGATTATCCAGCCTGCTGCAACGGTCTAATTGGAAAATAATGGCTGTGCTATCCTAACTCTTGTCAGTACAAGGAGATACTGTACTGGAAGGTGGTGTCCCTGTAGTTAGACTTGTATTACCTTGGTCTGCCCTCCAGGTTTAAAGTGCAAATGTAGTCCGGGCTTCACTGAAGGAGATTCTAGATAAAGGCAGCAGTGTTTGGATTTGTGGCAGCCCTCAATGCTATTTGTTTCCTTATACCTGGATTCCACCTTGCTTGATCTGCCATTTTCCCACCCCTGCTCCTATAAAGGCTAAGCCAACTGGTATTGCTTTAATGTCTGTGATTTGCAGTGGGCGTTCATTCCAGCTGTTTGCATTAGATTTCCTTTCCGCCTTCTTTTCCACAGTAGGCGCTCTGCAAATGTCTTTAATTACCTTTAAATAGCCGTGCTCTGCCTGGGATGCAAACTTACCTTTCCATTCTGTTCAACGCTACAGCTTGAAAACACCCACACTGATAGGAGTTGGTCCAATAAAAGGTCACTCTTTATATGTCATATTTGTGAAAACCAAAGTAATACTAACGGCTTTTGTAACAGGCTTTAGATTTATTTATTTATTTTGACAATTTGTATAACTCAATGACAGTAGCCACTAAGCAGTGTACAGAAGACTTGATACAATAAGACCAAAAATGTGTTTAAAACTATAAAATCAGAATTCATTTAGAACGCCTGCTTGAATGAAATGCCAGTAATCATTTTGTTTACTGTGTCACCATTTCCTGCTTTAGTCTTTTCTAGCTCTGATAAACTTGTTATCCTACCCTGCTGTTTACGAACTGATAGGTGATCAAGCGATACCTAATAAACCAGAATATTCTCTCCGTGAAGTTCCTACAGATATTATAGTAAGTAGCTTGGCTTTCAATCCTTTTTGAAAAGCTCTTTTGAATGGTTATATTGCTCTGATTGAAACACGCTCTTTTTGCAAATGGATTTAATGTTTTCTTATTGCTTTAACTTTATAATTTTGTATCTCCTTTTGACAATCATATGATGAGTGGTTTACAAATCTGTTCAATAAAAATAAGAAGCTTCATATGGGTTTGGTGTTCTATTGCTGCTTAGGTTCTGAGTACATTTTCAGCATTTCTTTCTTGCATGCAGCATGAGGGCAGTATATGCACAGTGTCCTCAATGTGAAACTTTTTTCCCTACAGTCATAGGAAAATGTAATACTTAAATAATAATCTGCAGATGCTGCTTTCTCTTGTCGAAAGACAAATCTCTTCTTTCAAGTGTAAGCAATGGATTTGATTATAATAAAATTATTCTTTATATCATATAAAATCTGTAGATGTATAAAAATCTTTTGCATATCTAAAGAAATATAGATATATTTAATTATAACCAATGTCAAAGTAGAACAAGAGCCACAATTTTGGCACCTGTGTGTGCCAGCCTGCCTAGCAGCACCTCTTATGGTTCTTGAGAAAGGGTTCAATAAGATTTCTTCAAAAATCCACGATGCATGAGACAAGCTTTGCTCATCCTGTTCCGGTTGTGTTTGCATTGGTTCGGCCTTTCCTCATGCCCCCTCAGACATGCCCACGTTTCATTGGATGCCAGGATTGGACACCCAGCCTCCTACTCTGAGCAGAGGAGAGGTGCAAAGAGCTTTCCTTTGTGAGTGAGTGTGGTGGTGACTGATGCACATGCCTTTTCTTCATTGATAGGGAAGGGTTGAATACTTTCCTGCTCTTTTAGACATGGCAGCCATTTTTGTGTTATGCCATGCCCTTGTGGCAGCCATTTAGTGACTGCCATTCAAGCACTTCCTCAAAATTGCATATGCACCACTGCCTCAAAAAGGTTGAAGTTCCCTGAACTGGAATGTGATTTTCCTTTTCTTGGTCTTTTACCCATGGCCCACTTGGGAGATCCAGGGTAGAGACATTACTGTGTTTGGTGTTGCTGTGCTTTATGCCATCCCTGAATGTAATTTAACCATAAAGGTATCTGTGACCTTTCTTTTTTGAGGTCAGTTCCTGAATCTTGGGGATGGCTCTTCCCACTTCCACTGATGCATCAGTGGGCTGTGTGGTCAACCAGATGTCTGCTTGTGTTGCCATCACTGTTGATGACCTTGGTGTAAATGGTTCTTTTTGGATTTCTTCATTCTGTTGCTCTTCCTTTTGACCGGAACACTTATCTTGGTGTAATGTTGATCAAGTTGCATTGGGTTGTTTCATGACAGTTTATCCTTCTATCCCTCCGTAGTAGGACTAGATCAGTTCTATGTGACTATAGCAGATTTGTTTTAAGTAACATAACAAATATCTAAACAATGTAAAATAATAAACAAAAGCAAATCTTACACAAAACAAGAATCCATCAAAATGCATCAATGTAATACAACAGCAAAATACAGCAACAGAATGCAACAGAATTGCAATATTATCTTTAAAACACACACACACACACACACATCAATATTGCAGAAAAGTATCCTTTTAATGAATCAATAAATCTAGGAATTCAAGAACCATAACTTGGATACTGCTCAATTCAGCCATCACACTTTCTTTCGATACATTAACCACTTCATCCACTCAGTTCTTACTTCAGCTGAACACTATAAACATTTAACAACCAAAAATCATGTACTGTACCAACATCTAACTGGTGAAAAGCCAGTCACCTGCCCCGCCTCCATAGATGGTAAGGGAGGAAGTAGATTACAGCTGTGTGTGCTTTGTAACCCTGGCTCTGTGTCCAGAACCTAGCCTGCTACTCTCTGGTGCAGTGAAGGGCATTACTCTGTCATCATGTTGAAATAAAATTCTACTGCCAGTCTCACCATGTAATATGCTATCTTGTCTTTTGTCTCAGGTAGCACAATGTCTATGATCTCCCCTGCTACCATGGCAAGCACACTATGCTTCTCATTTAAGGAAGGGTTGTTGCTCAGTTGCATCTGCTTTCCATATGGAAGGCCCCATGTTCAATTCCTGGTATCTCCATGTGGGGCTGGGAAGGACTCCTGCTTGAAACCGGGAGAGCTGCTGCCATTCAGTGCAGACAGTACTGAGCTATACGGACCAATGATCTGACTTGAAATAATGAGTATAGTGCCAAATCCCCTTTGGCTATTCACATTTATTCTGAGGTTTTGGGAAAGAAACTGGAAACCTTACTCTTGGCTGCTACAGCTAGGCAAAAGTGTTTTTGCTCAGTGTAGACGGAGTTGCTTAGCTGTTCGAGGTGTCAAAGTACTTTGGATGTAAGAGCAAATCAAAAGATGTTGCCAAATCTCTATTCTTGGCGGATTACTTACACTCTCACATTAGCAAGGTTGTATAAATTTACTTGTTTAAGGAAGTAAACTTCCAATTAGGAACAGTTTTCCTTTATAGGAATGCTATTCTATACTTATTCACTGTGTTTTCCCCAGATGTACACATAGATTTAAAAATAAATGCACTGGGTATTAAATACATGTAGAGAATCTGATAATGACTATTTTTATGATTCTCTTTTCACTCGAGTCAGAGAAACTGACTGGAATGAAATGGGGAAAATACTTACTTTTTAAACACAAGAACAGTTTGCTGAATTGCTTCTTGCCAGTTTAAGAGCTATTTGTGAGGAAATGTAACAACCAAATCATATACTTGTCCATATACTTTAAAAATGTGGCTTAATGAAAATGGTTGAGTAATAATGTTGTCTGCTCAAAGTGCTCGTCACATATTAATAAAATTGGTGCTTATATTTCAGGATATCATTGACAGGCTTATAATTGTGAACACAGAAGCTAAAATTCATTCATTGTTCAATTATGAGCAGTCTCATATCTTTGGCCTGAGGTAAGATACTAAATTTTCTGATTCACTTAAGGTAAAATAATCAGCTAGTTTCTTCTGTTCTGCAGTGCTGACTTGGTAAAATGCTTATGAATCTGGCCAATATGAGGATGCGGGTAGAGGTATCTGTGAGTGAAATATACAGGTTGAGTGCTGTATGGCAATGAAACCCAATATACAGTCAGGGAAATTAGACTATGCACAAAGGAAGTATTTCCCCTAGACAACATGTATTGTACCCGTTCATATGAGGCTTAGAGATAATCCTCTCAACGCAAATCTTTGGTGTCCCCACCCCCACCCCCACCCCATTATATTGTTTATTATAGGTTGCTTTTGGAGGTTGGAACTCTTAGCTGCTTGGGATGCAGTCTACAATTTTTGCTGTGCTGACACAATAGAAAGAACTTAGGCACTTAAACCGTTACTCCTTGCTGTCTCTTGTTGGATGAGGAAAGAAATAGGATGCTGAAATTTTAATCAAGAGCTGCAGTGGTTTTGACTGATGTTTTGTAGCTAATTGGCTGTATACAGTCTTGGATCTTTGAATGTCAGGGGTTTACTGTGCCTGGTTTGATGAGCACAACCTTTCTGTTACTTATTTTATTTAAAAAGCATTTATATACTACCGTATTTTTCGCTCTATAGGACGCACTTTTTCCCCTCCAAAAATGAAGGGGAAATGTGTGTGTGTCCTATGGAGCGAATGCAGGCTTTCACTGAAGCCTGGAGAGCGAGAGGGGTCGGTGCGCACTGACCCCTCTCGCTCTCCAGGCTTCAGGAAGCTATCTGCAAGCCTTCGGAGCGCGGCGGGAGTTCCTGGGCTTCGGGCAGTTATTCGCAGCGCTTGCTGCCACTCCCGGACCTGTTCTGGGGTCGGGGGAAGCTCGGGCTCCCCTTGCCTTAACCCCGCGGCTAAAAATGAAGCCGCGCACAGCCTCTCCCGGCTGGAGAGGTTGTGCGTGGCTAAAGATGGATCCCGCTGGCTGTCTTGGCTTCTTTGCTCTTTGGGCTGGGGGGGGATATTCCCCCCCTTTATTTCCCCCCCAAAAGTAGGTGCACCCTACGGGCCGGTGCGCCTTATAGAGCGAAAAATACGGTATTTAACGTTACAAAAATCTCTAAGCAGTGTATAGTGTAACAAACAAAGAGTAGATTATTAAACCAAAAAGCACAACCTAAACCAGTAAAACAGCAATATAAAAAAGCATAACAGTGAGAAAAAAAATTCCTGAAGATTTAAACATGTAAAACAGGGTCCAGTCTTACGGGTTAGTGGAAGAGAAGTTTTCACATCTGAAGCAACTGATGATTGCGTGCTTCGTGTATGGCAAAGGGAAGGGCAAGTAGGACCGTGAAAAGAGGACACGTCCAGGAATTCCCAGACATATGGCAACCCTATTCACCCTTCCGTTGCAGCTCCCAGCACACACCCTGAAAATTGGCTTCAGAGGGTTGGGGGCCCCTCCAGAGCAATGTGAAAG